TAACTTGTTAAAGCAGTTTCAAAACAACGACAGTGTTAGCGATTAGCAGCCTGTTTAGGTTTAGTGTTCTTTTTTGTTCCAGCTTCAAATTGTTATTGTTTTATTCCTGTTACTTACATTTTACATGCAACAGAATAAATAAAATGTACCTAAAAGGATTGAATAACATGGGATTTGTAAAATAAGTAATTATTGTGGGTTAAATTCCTGTCTCAGATTAAAAATATCAATATAAATGTTTTTCAATGTGTTAAACAATATATAAATAATAATATTAAAACTGTTAGGTAATTATCAAATTATAAACTTTCCCTATTGTGTTAATATTTTTATAAAACTTTTTTTTGGAATATTGTCGTCCTAGGGATCAACAGAGATATGTTAATAGGTCCAATAACTCCTAAGAGGAGAAAGAGAGTATGAGAGAGTCATAGGTTCATCTAAGGTAATATGATAGAGCTGAAAGTGCTACAATAGAACACAGGCATTAAGTTTTCCTCTCTCTCTCACACTAGAAACATTCATTTTACCACCCCGGAAACCTGACTTTATAGTTTACACAGTAACGGTGGAGCCACAGAATTGCATGAAAACAAACTCTGTAGATAAAATTAAAGGAGCCACACTTCTAGCCTTAGTATTTAAGAGAAATGGAAGCAAACTGAGGATGACATGCAGGATTATGTTGCCTCATTCTTCTAATTTTTCACTAAGTCTCATAAAAAGTGTTTTAAAGATTAAATAGCAAGAGATGTGCAACACAAAAAAGGCTAACACACTTCTAAAATGCTATATTCGCAAACCTAATATTTAAAGACTTATCATCTAAGTTGTCTCCTTTTCTTGTTTTGACAGTAGCTTCTTTGACATCTTGAAAAATACTTCAGCACACATTTATTTCAGGGAAATGTTCCCAAGAGCAGCAGCAGCATTTTTTTTTTTTGCACTAAAAGCCCATTAGCTTAGATTTATATTCATGCACTGTAAAAACTATAAATGTAAGCAGCTGCATCATCTCGTCCTGTTACTACAAAGTGCAATATCATAGTGGTAAGATATCAAATTCAGGCCAATTCAATCAGTCCGACAAATTCAATAAAACAGCGATATACTGCAAATTATAGCAGACAAAGTCAATGCATGGGTAAATACTTGATAAATGAATAAATTTCAGATTATAAATAAATAACACATAGTTCATATAGTATCATTTTAAACAGATAAGTGTCGATATAATACATAAACAGAAATATATACTCTGATTGGTCAGTCCAGTCTGCATTTGGCATGTTATAAATGTACATCGACTACCCCCTCTGACACTTCTACACTGCAAATCAACACTGCTTCCACATGGCACGCATAAAGAAGAGAACACATGTATATCTGCACCAGCGAGACTTAAATATGCTAAATAAACCTTTTTTTTTTTTTTAAAATGAGGCATCTGAAATTTCATCAACCGTGGGGGTCGCCACTTGGTCAATTTTGCTGCTAAAATATGTAACACACACACAGCGGCCTATCCTCTCATCCAAACACATCAGTGAAGGACGTATAAATTAATCAGCATCACATGAATTGTTAATGCAAGGAGCTTTGTTTCCCTCCTGCAGCTCATATCTAGGTGTAAATATTAAGCGGCCGCTGTGATAACAGCAAAGCTGGGCCTCGTTTGACAGCTGTTTGCATTTGGACGACAGCTGTGGTTGGTTGTGAGTGTGTGATGGCGGCAGGTTAGGTCAGAGCTGTGTGTGTGTGGCTGTATGCAGAGGGCCAGCAGCAGTTTTGAGTGCATTTTTTTTAATGCTTCTACATCCTCATAATGATTGAGAGTTAGCTAGCTAATACAGGCCATGATTTCCCAGCAGGACTTAATAGTGGAGTTACGGCTCCCAGTCGTCATCGTGGTGCTGCGATGCTATGATGACTACCACGGTGAGGATGGTGCACAGCACAATGGAGGCGATGCCAACCGCCAGGCTGATGAAGGAGAAGTTGCGCGCCTCGCGGGAGGCTATTTCCGCCGTCACCATGTCCCCTCTGGCTATCGCCGTACGCACCTAAGTGAGAAGGAGGGAGGAGAAATTCGAAAATGTGTTACGCAACAAGCAGATACACGAGTGGGAGCAGGAGAGAGTCTGAAACAGCATGAATGGATCGATTTCACTGCAGCACAGGCTGAATGTGCAGTAACACCCTATAACATCATATAGAGCTCAGACCGGTGGGTCCATGCCCTGTCAGATCAGCTCAGCGCACAGCCAGCTGAGCAGGCCCAGAGGAAAAAATCCATTCTGTCCCGTTGCACTGACAATGGTGCAGTTACGTAATGATGTGGTCTGTTGAGTGCGTGTTGGTCAGCACAGTCTGCCATTAGATAAACAACAGAGCAACATAAAAGTATGAAAGTCACCAGACGGAGCTCTAACTTTACACCACCTGCACAGAAAAACAGCATTTAAAAAAAAAAAAAAAACTGCGCCTGCTGATGCAGATTATGTAGAGGTGACATCAGTGAATCCACAAAGTAACATCTTCCATCTGCTTTTTTTTTTTTTTTTGTATGATTAAGAATCACAAAATACTGGCTCCTGGTTTGCAGTCGGTAAATTCATAGCCACGTCGTTTTCTGTATTTCAGATCCTATCTTGGCAGGAAGAAAGAGCCACAGCCTGTTTTGACACAAACAGTCAAGGGATGAATGATCTTTCCTGACAGTCACATGCAGCTGGAAGGCTTTTTTTTTTTTAAATTCACAACCCATTAAAAAGATAAAGATAAAATAATTTTGCCTGAAAACCTTTATATATGTGCCATTTTACAAGAGTTGCTTTCCAAAATATATGTCAAGGCTTGAGATAATTTAGTTTTCTCATTTGCAGTGTCACAAAGTGTGAAGTATCTCATTCTTCTGCGACTAAGGGCTCCAGTGTTGCCCCAAAAACTACTGAAAATACACAAGAGAGCAACAAGTGACACATCCCCTACAAACTGTAGATAAAAGATGGATGTAGGCACCCTTTTGCTTAACTGCCTTTGCCGTTTTATTTTTTGGAAACCTGCAGTGACATATTTCAGTAGTAGCGAGTCGGTAAAAGTGAAATCCAGGGTTTTTTTTGGTTGTCCTTAAAATTAATCGCATAAAGGTACAAGTCAATTTTTAAAACTACCGTAAACACAGTTCAGAGGTCCAATTCAGTGACGTGAATAAGGTGAAGCGAAGCTCAGCATACAGCTAGCGGCATAATCGACACCTACTTGACAATTACCTCCCACAGGACCACCGCAGTAGATGTACCACAGATTTTTCACACAATGATGTAGTTCTGCTGTAAATTTGGACATTTTGACGTGGAGGTCTGAGGAAAACTGTAGTTTCTGTCCCATTCAATAACCTACACATGTCAAAGCCATAGATACGCAGTTCTGCTGTTGCCTTTACTGAGCTGTTCGCTTATCAACAAATGTGTAGTCTTTCAGAGCTTAAAATAATTCCACAAAATGTATTTGGCTCCTTCCTAAATACTTAGTTTTTTGCATATTTCTCCCACTTACATGTGTCAGACCATCAAGCAACTTTGAAAATTAGACAAAGATACCCTGAGTAAATATAAAATTACATTTCTGATTTCATTTATTAAGGGAAAAGGTTAGCTAAACCTACCTGCACCCTATACCTAATACCTGGTTTTGGCAGCAGGAACTTTAATCAAGTGTGTGTGATGCTTGGTGGTAAGATTTTCATATCACTGTGTAGGAATCTTGTCCCACTTTTCTTCACAAAATTGCTTTTTTTCAGCCAGATCGAAGCGTTTTCCACCACAAACAGCCCGTTTAAGGTCATGCCAAAGCATGTCAATCGTTTTAAATCCAGACTTTGACTCAGCCATTCCAAAACCTTCATTTTGTTTATTTCTGAGCTATTCAGAGGTGAACTTTCTGGGTTGTTTTGGCTCATGCTGCATAACCGAAGTAAACTTGAGCTTCAGGGTGTAAACTGATGATTTTTAAGATTTTCTGGTAGACAGCAGTTTGATCAATTACAGCAAGCCCAGAAGAGGCAACCCAGCCCCAGACCAGCACCCTACCATGTTACTCTCCCATTTTTGTCCAGTCTCTTTCTTACTGTTGAACTCTGACCTTAACTGAGAAAAGTGAGGCCTGCAGCTCTTTAGATGTTGTTCTGGTTCTTTTGTGACCTCCTGGATGATTCGTCGATTTGCTTTTGGAGTAATTTAGGTAGGCTGGACACTCCTGTTACTCCATTTGTATACAGTGGCTCTCACCGTGGTTCACTGGAGTCCCAAAACATTTGAAATGGCTTTGTAACCCATTCCAGACTGATAGATGTCAGTGACTTTGTTTCTCAGGTGTGTTTCTTCAGACTGTGGCATAATGTGTTACTTTTTGAGATCTTTTATCCTTCTTCAGGAAGGCTAGCTAAAATTTAACTCAACTTTCAAAAACTGTAGGGCATGTAAATAAATTTGGATAGCTTTTTATCCCTCAATCAATAAAATCATAATTTAAAAACGTCATTTTGTATTTTCTCTGCTTATCAAATATTACAATTTGTATGATAATATGAAACATTTAAATGTAAGAAAGATACCTGTTCTGTTTACTGAGAACCACACGGCTCGGCTGTTTCTAGAAATTATTGAGAAATTACTGGAAGTAAAATATTCTCTTAAATATTGATTTTATAGAGTCTTGTTTTAACGTGCAAAGAAAGAGCTTTAAGTCACTGAAAGTTTTTGTCTTATTTTACAGGACGACAAGAAAAACTGCAGGATTTCTATCATTTATCATTTTAAATGGGAGCGTCTGCGTCTGCTTTAAATGGCTTTAAAGTGAAAATTCATCGCAAAGTCATCTGTAAAGGTGATATTATATCGATATGAAAGCCACAGATGAAAAGGAGACTATGAAGCAGCATTAACCTGCACTGCTTTGATGATCGCAATGATGCCTGTTGGCCAGAAGCAGCAGACGGTGGTGAGCACGGCGATGGGCAGGTAGTCGTGCGGCGGTCGGCGGTCCATTAGGGTGATGCTCGGTGGCATTTGCATGGGGTGAATCTGGCCCGGTGGGATCCCCGGGTGAGTTCCTCCAGCCGGCATGTAGGGCTGACCCTGAACAGAGAGAGAGAGGAGGAGAAGATGGAGAGCGGTGCTTTTAAAACAGTCCAGCAGCTTGCAAAGCTCTTTCCACACCAAAACACAGAGGAACACGCTAATGTGAGTGAAGAAGGGCACAGCAGCCGGGCAGCAGGAAGCAGAGCCTGCTAGGATCGCTGGTGTCAGAGGGGGCATTCGGATTTTTGATTGTCTCATTTTTAATTTAAATGAATTTCTCACAGTTGGACGAGACGTTGGAGGCGACCTAATCGTGGCGCGGAGGCACTGAACATTAGCTCTCTATGCCAAGTGGACAATTTTAGCTTTATTTTAAACCACCTGCGGAGCTGAGACGTGACTGCACTGCACCGTACAGTCATATCTGTAATTACCATTAGCTGTGAGACGAGATATCAGAGTGCAGTGCCGCTTTCAGCCTGTCGGGATTAAAAATTATGTTCAGTATTTGGGGTTTTTTTTCAATTAGATGCAAGAAACGCATCACAATTCGCTCTGCTTGAGCTGTGCATGTTTATCAGCTCAGCAGGCCAGACAGAAATACACTTAAAAAAAAGAAAAAAAAGGAAAAGAATTTTGTGATTTTGTGCTGCAGTGCAGATTTTGCTCTCGATATTATTCTCCTCGCATTCAAACCCACGCTGCTTTTAAGAAATTACCGACGGGAAGCTGGACAGCTGCACTTTCAGATGTCTGATGATTCACAGTCTCTTTCCGAGGCCTCGTTTTACAACTTTGATGTTAGTTCAGGGTAAAATATAAATTGTTTGATCTATTAACGTGGATGAACGTGTGGCTGTAGTTCAAAAATCCACTGTGTTCTCCAGCAACAATGAATGGGCAAAGAGTACAGATTGGTCCTTATAATACATGATGTTGAAGCTTAATAGTTCAACCAAGGACTTATGTCGTCTGCTCAAATGGTCTCATTCCTGTCATTGCTGTAATATATTAGAATACTCCGAAGCTCCCAGGACGGTGAGATGAGACCTGGAGAGGTAAAACTCTGCTGCAGAATTAGAAAAACAGGAAAAGATTTAATATTTATCATCCTCTGACCCCTCAAATATCCCCATCTGTCAGAGATGCTAAATTTATGAAATTTATGTTTTATTTTTGAAAAATGAGCCTCAGAAAAACAGTAGAAACTGAACAATACAGAGAGAAGCAGCTCTACTTGTCCTTCAACCCTCCTCCACCTACAAGTACTGGCCTTTAACTTCAGTTTAAACTTATTTAGTGCTGCACATGTTTTAGTTCCTCCCTGCAGTCATCAACAATATTGTTAGTTTACAGCTGTACTGCACTTCCTTTGTTCTGCAGAGCCCCTGATGTCCCTTGTGGGGACATTTTTAATTTCATGCACGCAAATTATTGTCTTGATAATTTGGAATAATGCTCCTCTAATGATTTCACAGTATTTTGCAACCCAGATCCGAGCTTGAGTGTCATAAGATGCTCTTACGCATCGGCATCGTCTGTTGTGAAGGACATCTCCTGCGCAGCCAGTTATTCCTGCTGATCGTGTGTCTGTGCAAAAGCAGCAGCAAAGCCCAAAGAAAAAATATGGATCTCTTTATGCAAAATTAGCTTCTCTTAAAATCTAATTGTCTTGTTTATGAAGGATTTGTGCACAAATTATTTTTAAAAAAAAGCTTTACAATGACGTTCAGCAACAGAAGATTTGCTTTCTTTTTTGTTGTTGCTGTTTTGTATATGAATTGATTTAAAATCAGCCAAATCAATTAAGTTTACTGGCTTGAACTGCTGACTCATTTTTCAAACTTACGGCTCCTCTAATGTACGAATATTGTATTAGCATTTATATTCCACCTCAGTGACGCACTCAGTTATGTATTAGAGTGTAAAAAAAGCTGTATAATTTATGTAATGTGGGTTAACTGATTACATTGATATTAATTAACTGACACGTCAGCTTTCATGTATTATAATTTATGTGTGGCTTCCAGACGATCTTTCACTTTAAGCACACTTTACCACGAAGTACCGATTTCACCCGTCAGGCTCAAAGCTCAGAGAAATATCTCGATTGTTATGAGAATCAAACAAACACTGTCAGCCTGTTTTTGCTGGAAAGCTGCACACAAAAATGAAACCACATGTCCTCTAGCCTGAAAAATCTCCTACGCCTTTATATAAGTACAAGGACAATCAATGCAAATTACTTCAGCCTATTAATGCAACAACGTGCAGAATTAGCCTGCATGTTTACGTCCCTGTCTGACCCTGCAAAATTAATGAAATGAAAGCAACACCAAAGAGCTTATTCAAAACACTGCTGTGTGCATCATTAATCATTAAAAATGATCATTCATCATCATTAAAGATATTTAAAATCATACGAGAGGCTCTTTGTGGGCTGGTGGGACACGAGCCTGATGAATAAAGACATGCTCACTGGAACAAATCAGAAGGTTTGTAATTTTCCTTTTTCTGACTGAGCTTTCCGGACATTTATTGCTGATTATGTGGGGAAAAAAGAGACATCGTTTGATTAATAAATGTCCAGCTAATTGACGCAACAGCAGGTGCCACAAACGAAGCAGAAAATGAGCAAATTACTTCACAAAATGCGCATTTTCTCTGAAGATAGAGACAAGCCCCTGAGATAACAGAAGAACGTTTGATTCCCTGCATAATAAGCATCGAATGACATTTAGTAGATCTTACTGAGGAGTGAATTATGGACAATTTTAAACGAGCCGGAAAGAAGTGTGGAGGTTTAATTCTGCTGCAGCCTGCTGCCAGAGCTGTGAAATCTTTCAAGGCTGTGTCTCACTCACCGATGCCATGGGGTAGACGGGAACGTAAGCTGTGCACGGCTGCAGCTGAAGCGGGTAGCCCGGGTGGAGGTATCCCACAGGAGGGTGCGCCATGGTGCCTCCCGGAGCCTGGGTCTGGACAGTGTAGCCCTGCGGGGCTCCCGGAGGCCCCATCGGGGCACACTGGAACTGAGTTTCTTGGAGGTATCCCTCTGAACCCGGAGGAGGAGGCGGAGGAGGGTAGTTGGGCTGGGTGCCCGGCGCGGGAGGCATGTTGGGGTGCTGGGGCATGTTGGGGTCCTGTGGGCCGGGCAGGTACGGAGGAGGCTGCATGGTCTGACGGCCAGAGTCATCGAGCCCTGAGAGTGGAAGAGGGAGGAAAGATGAGGAAAGGTAGGTGAGCAGTCAGAAATAGACAAGGCAGAGGAAGAACAATAAAAGAAACAGATGTAAGAGCGAGAGCGTGTTATCTAACTCGAGCACGGCTACACGTGTGTTTGCATGTTGGCTCTAATATGTCTTATTTCACTGCCAAGGAGGAGAGAAAAAAAACAATTACATGGAGCATAGCTCTTCAGCAAGACTTAAAAAAGCAGCTACAAAGCCTGACATTTCCAACCTGTGCAGGCTAATGATGACAGTGATTGGCATTTTCACTGCTGGCAAAGGAAAAGAAGAAAGGCCTTTTTCTCTGCTTATCCTTCACAAAGAAGTTTATTAGCAGCAGAAATTTGGCATTTCAGGTGTCGAGAAACACGTCCCGAAGCATCTGTCTGCTTCTGGACGTCTGAACACTTTAATGCTCACACCTCTGCTCCCTTTGTGTTTGCTTAACACTGAAAACAACTGAGAGGGTGTTGTGTTGTCGAAGCGGGGAGGTGGCTGAGATAATCCAAGTTGACAGGGACATGAGGAGGAAGAAAAGGAGAGAAAAAAAAAGAATGGAGATGGATGGAGGAATAGAAGAGGGAGGATTTGATGAGACATGAAGAAGGAGAGCAGGAGGCAGTGTCAGCGAGCGGGAGAGAAGCTGGGTGATGAGGGATGACGACTTGTGCGCTCGGGGGACCGGTTTTACGTAAGAGGCCCCAACTCTGTCACAAGCAGGAAGTGGACCAGAAAGAGACAGAGGGGAAAGGAGCGAGCGCGAGGAGGAAGACACCTTTGAAAGGTCATCACGTGATGAGCAGAAAATATATCAGAGTGTGTGTGTGTGCCCAGCATCTTTGGCAATTATAACTTGAATTCCATATAAAATAACATGAGACGTCACATTATTTTCTTCTTTATGATAAAGATCTTAATAGCGCAACGACCTGCATCCAGATGAGAGAAATAAAACTGTGGGAACACTCAAGCCGAGTAGTTAATTTATTTACTCTGCAAAATGCAATCACGCGCAGTGTTTTGTCATCACTTCAACAACAGATTTAAGCTAAAATACACATTTTCTTCTGTTATTTCACTGAATAAATAATGATAATGTTTCTTTTGAATTAAATCTCTTCCATTTTCTGCCTTAATGTTTGAATTCTGTGCAGGAATAGATCACTGTCTTAAGCAAGTTGTCTGCTACTGATCCAATTCTAGCCATCATTATAGATCAATAGTTTTTTAATCAAATATATATTGATTTTTTCCCCTTTCCATTAAACTGTAATGCTTAAACATTAAAGGGACAGTTCACCTCAAAATCAAATGTAGATCTAATTTATCCATCTCAGTTGTTTTGGCACGTGCTGCCCAGTTTTTTTAAGGGATCAGGTGCAGAAATGCTCCTCTTCTCTTGGATATAATGGAAGTAAAGTACTGCCTTGTGGTACTCAACATGCTAAAAAAAATAGCCTGTATTGGGAAAAACCCAGCAGCAGCACCTCTTCACAGAAATAATGACCAGGTTACTCAAAAAGAAAATCTTGATGTGAGCAGTTTCATGCGGAAACTCCCAAACTACTCCAGCCAGCTGCATGAAAGTGTCAGCCTGTCCAGGCGAGGCTGTGACAGAGTGACGGCATTTAAACATTCATGGCTTCCTCTCTCAGATCAGCTGTAACGTCTCACAGCTCAGCAGCCATCTTGAAACATCCCTGGACTCTTGCTTGGCCAGTAAAGTTTAAATTTGCCTTAATCTCAGTGATCACTGGGACATAAAACAGTTGAATCTGTAGCATCCATCTATCTTCCACTTGGTTGCATTTTATTCCAAGTAAAGTGAGCATTTCTGAGCTGGTTTGGTGCCGATATCATAAAAAGTCACACTAAAAACAGCTGAGATCAATAAACAGCAGGTTAAGGCCCGAGGTAGGATATGTCTGATTTGGGGTAAAGTGTCCCTTTAAGGTCGCAGTCAATCTGCAGCGCCCACAGCTGCAGATTTTACTGACCAGAAGCCGTCAAACACACCTAATCAGAAATATTGATTTTCTCTGTTGAGTTACAACCTGAGACATTTTGAGCTGTGGGAAATGTTTGATGATTCACCCAGAAGCATGCACAGAGCTGTGGCAGTGGCACACCTGAATGTGATGCTGCTCTCGAGTTAGAACTAAAACCGAGTCCGTCTGTCATCAGCAAAATGCCTGTAATACTCTCTTCTTGAGGCATTTGCTACTTAGAAGCTTGGAACAGTTAACTAATACCTGTACATCCATTTAGCTGAACACATTAACGTCCCTGCTGTATTTTAATGGTTTTGCATTCCCATGTCTTCTGAGCATCAGCAGATGTCCATCCATTGTTTAATTATAGCCTCTCAGATCTGATTAAAGCACAAGACAGCGGTCACGTTTACAGCCGGCTCCACATTATGCTCTTCACACCTCCTGAGGCAAGATCAGGTGTCATCATCTACTTTGTTTTACTGTTTATTTGAATATTTTTAAGAGGAAAGATGCAGTTCACCAGCAACATCAGTAACTGGTGCTTCAAATTCTAAAATATTAGAAGGTGGAAGGATTAAAGTGTGTGTGTGTCTGTGGAAGAGAGGCTCGGGTTCACGAGCAATAAATGGTTGTTAAAGGCGTGCACGCGCAAAGGACACCCACATCCTGTCTATAGTCAGGAGAGATGTACGTAGGCCCGTGCGTAATGATGTGAGACATATATAACAGAGGGGAGGAAAAATAGGGAACAGGGAGTCCAGGAAGGATGTGAAAGCTCACTTCAGTGAAGAAAATCTGAACATGAAAATAAACTAAATGTAAAAGAAATAAATTCAGCAGATACACACAGAAAGTCTGATGATATTAGTTTAAAGTCTCCACGGCCCTGCGGTTATTTTTTCCAACCCCCACCAAAGCTGCACCCACACAGCGGTGCATCATCTTGTAGACACAGCAGAAGCAAAAGCGGATGGAGAGGTTGACAAGGGGGCAGCTGGGAAAAGCGCAGATGACAGCAAACTAGAAAAAAACCAAAACACACACACATATATATAGGCCGATGCCCTGGATCTGCCTTCGTGCTTCAGACAATTAAAACGCCTCACCGTGCTTTTCTGACGACATGCTTTCAGATCTTCTGTCCGCCTCCTTTGATTGGATCTATTTTCTTTTCCTTTACTCCAGTTGGTGGTGAAAATCCTCCTTCAAGTGCGCGATGATGCAGACTTTTAATCCAAACGTGTGCAGCCCATCCTCAGGATGTTTTCATCTTTATTTCTTTAGCGGCAGTAACAACTTGAGGTGTTTTTTCTTCTTCCTTTGTTGCTTTAAACCCGGCTCTGTCACCGCGCACAGCTCCGTTCAGCTCCCCCTCCTCTCCTCTCCTCTCCTCTCTGTGCGGGCAGGGCAGTCTAATAATGTTTCTCCGCTAACGCGTCGCTGTACATTGAATTAATGAGACACAAAGCTATCGCTGTCTTAAAGCGACAGCTCGGACTCGGGCAGCGCGCACAGGCAGCAGGCTGGAACATCCCATTACAGCTCAACAAACGAGGCAGTCTCTGAATTGGATGGCTCTCTCTCACCGCCCTCCCTCACACATCTTGTTCTCAGATGATGACAGATTTGTAGTTAAGAAACCCAGAAGAATAGACCCATGCAAACAAACAAAGGCAGGCTTTGAATAGAGATTTTTTTTTATTACTGTACAATAAATTACAATGCAGCCCCCAACCCCCACCTCACAGTCTGCACTTTGGTCTGTTTGATTAAAACAAGTCCCTCCATCCTGCTAAGAATTTATATGTAAACATCATGTTTTGTAGGCACATTCAGCTCCAAACATGTGAAGACACTCTTGCCTCAATTATCTCCTCCCTGTACATCTCCCTCACCCCTCCACCTCAAAGAAAGCACTTGGCTTCAGGCACACCTCCCCCCTCCTGCCACCTTTCAGTGGGTGTACAGGGAGGCAGTGAAGACAATGTCCCTGCGGATGGCCAAGGAGGCCTTCTCCATCTTGCTCCCCAGGACAGAGTCTCCCACGATGCGGGCGGCCTGCCTCACCTCCTTCAGCACCTCGTCCAGGCGTTGGATGCAGCGGACCACCGTGCCCTCCTGGACGTCCGTGAGCTGGGCGATCTCTGCGAAGGGCTGGGACGGGACAGAGGAGGTGGTGAGTGACGAAGAGGAAACTTTAACAGCACGAATCACATCTTAAGTTTATCCATTCATAAAGTAAAGAAAGGAGACAGTTTCTATGGTAACATTCTGGTACTCCAGGATACTCTGTCTGGGGTGACATAAAGTGATAAACTCATTATATTTTGTAACATTAAATTGCATGTGATGAATAAAAACATGATTAGATTTGCAGGCAGCTTTAAAAAAACAAAGAGCTTTTTAAGAACCACAAATCCTGATACCTGAAGCCAAAACTGAGAAGTTAGTGTTTAAATTCTCATGATTGTTCAGAACATGCAGTTTGAGTAATCACACTACTTGTCTTCTAATCTTTGTCCTTATTTGCAACTGAATGATCGGGCTTGTTTTTGAGCTTTACTTTTCTTTTGGCAAGTACAAAGACCTGCAAAAATAAACCAGTGATGCTGTTTAACCGCTCTGCA